TGCGAAGTGCCATCTTTGAATGGAAGGTTGTTTGAATAAAGATGGCACTTTGCATGCCGGGACTTGCAGTTGCACCACAGTAAAAGATTAAGTTGATCTCTGCCACACTAGTACACTCTGGGGGGTGTATTTTTGCTCTTAGTGTATGGAAAAATATAACACTTGGGCCATATTTGATCTATAAGTTACATATAAATGTAAACAATCTTGACAAAATAAATGTGCTATTAACCACATTCTAATCTCTTTTCAGTGATTGGAAGTTGAATAGCCTGGGAATGTATAGCATGTTGTCATATTTAGTTCTTCATTAAACTCTTTTAAAAAGCTTATATATCTGGTGGTGGGTGAAACAGGTTGTGAAACAGCAAAGAAAGCTCAGGTTTGCTTCCAGAGGATTCTTGGGAAGTGACTCTGAAACACTGTTTAAAATGTAATTGCTTTTCCACCACAAAATTTAAAAAAAGAGAATGATTTTCCAGGTGTCAGATAAACATTTGGTTAAATAATATGTCTAGAATCAAAAGCTCAATGAATGCCCTTGTTTGGCAAATAACAATTGGAAAAGAAAAGTAGCTATCCCAATGGCACACCACCTCATTCAGAAAGAATGTAAAAAGTTACAAATTATATGAGTTAAGTATTTGCCCATAGCTGACGGCATCCTGATGATACACTGAAATAGAATAGCAGCTACTGGCTTAAGTTTTATGGCTCTGATATTCACATATGATCATTATATTAAGCGAGAATAGAATTCTTTGTGTTGCCATTATTCCAAGAGGTATTTCAGACCACAAAGCATTTGCAGCTTTTATTAACCCAGAGAGAAAAGGGTAAAGAGAGAGAAGAAGTGAGTTTTGGATAAATACAACCACGTCTATAGATGCATTCTCAAGGATGTGTCAACACCTTTGAAAGGAATCTCAGCAGTGTTCCTGTGACATAATTACTATAAATTACGCTGCTGTGGAAATAGAAAGGTCACAAAATGAAAGGCACGAAATAATTTTGCCAAATGATTATTTGGTCTTTTTCAAGTTGTACAAAAATGAAATCAATCTGACACTGAGTTTATGCTGTACAGATTCATCTCTGGATTATAACCCCAATGTACTTGTGTTCTCTAGGACATTAAGATTTACACATAACAAATGGAGATGGGTAGAACACTGGAAACTGCTTTCCAAAAAGTGTTCTGTGCATAAAGCAAAACTGGCAACATTTGTGTGGTGTGCAGTGAGGGGGAAGAAGTCACTTTTTCTTGGTGTGTTTCCCCAAGTTTTATAGCTTCATCATAACTATGCCAGTTTTCAGCAGTGAAGTTGAAGCTTGTGCATCTCAGTGAAGGACACAGCTAGGTCAACAGGGGAATTCCAGTTATTTTAACATTTTCAGCTACTGAGTTTTACCAGTAGTGAAAGGTGCTGCTCACACTGAATGAAATATGCACCCCTTTGCGGAGAGCTCATGCAAGGCCTTTGTACCACTCAAATCCACCTTGAGTCCTCCAAATAGGATGTAAGTGGGCCTTCAATACTATAAAACCACCACCATAAGTGGCAGGAAGCATCACTCTTTGATATAGTAGCTCTTTTGTTTTATTTTGTTTGGAATGAGAAGTAAAATTAACACTTTTTTTTCTTATCTTTTATGATGGCTGGAGAAATAGAAAAAGAGGGCCCCCAAGCTGCTATTATTTACTGTTATTGTTATAACAGTAAAATAGGAAAAGGTTCAGGAACAAAAAGAAGAAAAAGAAAAATATTCTTTCCTCCATATTCCACTACAGAGATGGCTGTTCCAGTGGTAGATGGTCATAATGCAATCTTCTCGATGCAAGATATTACATAAATTAATATACACCTCTACCCTGAAATAATGCGACCGGATATAACACAAATTCAGATATAAGTGGTAAAGCAGTGCCCCGGGGGGGCGGGGCTGCGCACTCCGATGGAGCAAAGCAAGTTCGATATAACGCGGTTTCACCTGTAACACGGTAAGATTTTTTGGCTCCCGAGGACAGCGTTATATCGAGGTAAAGGTGTATGTTTTTATATAGACGATAACAAAGCCTTTCTAAATCCCTGCTCTATCACTTAGATCCCCTGCAGCCAGTTTCTTAACTACATCCTTGGGGCTCATGGTCCAATCTACTTCTCTCATGCTTTACAGAGTACATGCTGCATTGGCACGCTTTCTGCCTTCCTGTCTCACTGATTGACCTCCAAGAAAACTTTCCAAGTACAGTTCCATGATCATCATATCCATTGGTCCCCCTACTGTCTTGGGTGGACTCAGCAAGTCACCCAGCCTGTCTGACACTGTGCCAAAGCATCTAGCCAGACCACCAAGAAAAATGGTTTATCTCAAAACTTCTGCTGGTCCATCTTCTCCAAGACTTATAACCGGTGTGTAGGCAACATCTTCACTTAGGGCCTGATGAACTCTGCTCTGTTCAGAAAAGCTCACAAATCTTTCTGCCACTGAGTTGCAGTAGCTAAGTGTTTGGAAGTGTCTGGGTAAAACTCTGGTAATATTTTAGTCCCAGGCAAGATAATGAAAGGTTGGAGCACCAGATTTGAATACACTGAACTTTGGATCTAGCTCTTACCTTTCTCAAACTGCACAACTCACTCATGTCTCTATAAATAACGAACTACTCTAGAACACTGAATCTTTGGAGAAATTCAGCATTAGATCAGATTCCAGATCTGAACTTTGTGAGCAGGACCCACAACTCCTGTACTTACTATCAAGGTGGTAAATATTCTGTCTTCCTTGGCAAAGACTTGAACAACAAGCTTCTAAGCACTAATTACTGGAAGCCTGCATCAGGGGATTTATAGTTGTACATGATGAAGTCCCGATGATAAAGTGAATACACAGAGAATGAGAAGAAATCACACAGTTAGTTAGAAATAAAGAGGGCTTGACTCTAAACTCAGTTATACTGTTGTAAATTAGGAGTGATTCTGTTGAAATTAGTGGAACTAAACCAGTATACAACTGATTTAAGTGGGAACGGAATCAGGCTCAGAGTTCCTGATGTGTATTTTATGAAAATATATAGGTTTTAACAGGAAGATTGAAGGGAAAGAGCCTACAGTATATTGTGACAAACCTTAAATCTTATAAATCCCCATGTGACAGGTGAATAAGAGGAGGAATACAGGTTTTCTTAGATTAAAGGAGAAGAGACAGCTTACTTTCTGGAGAGGAGACAGAGTGTGATTCAGAAAGAAAATAAATGAGCATGTTTGTTTGTTTTGAGGGATGTACAGATGGCCTTCTAGACAAAGAAATGGTATAGAGCTTTCACTTACAATTGAATTGTGCCATTTAAAAGTATCAACTAAAAGCCATTTTCATGCCAAAACACATTAGCCTAGTCACCTAGACCAGAAAGACGGAAATTGCTCTGCATAAGAATGCCTTTCTAATGGAAAAGGATGGATCCTCAGTTGCTTTCTTGGCTATCCTCACTATTACATACTCAGGAAGGAAAAATGTATTTTCTGGGGCCATTAAGCTGCTGAAGAAAATGAGATTGGAATGTCAGATAATTTTTTTAAAAAAAAGTACACAAAGTCTGGACATAAAATGCATTTCTTACAGAAATGCTGTAGTTGTTAAATGCAAAGTTTGGCAATAAAAACAAAACAAACCTGCTTACTGTTTCTGGCTATTGAACTATTGATAGCATATCCCAATGCATTTTCACACCTCGTGTAATTCTATAGAGACTACTTACCAGGGTAGAAAATTTGAAATGTGTAAAAATCATTAGTCACAAAGATGTGCTTGAAGAGGGCACTGTACTTCATCAATTCACTCCCTTAATTAATCCCTGATGCTGCAAAGACTTATATAGGTACTTAAATTTATGCACTGTAACTAATCCCATTAACATCTATAGCACTACCCCCAGTGCATGAAGTTCAGTACCTATGTACATCTTTTCAGGATTGGGGCAATATAGTGCAAGCTCTTTGGGTCAGGAATTGTCTTTTACTATACGTTTTTGCAACACCCAGCACAATGGAGCCTCTAGGTATTACAGAAATACAAATAACAAACAAAGAAATACAAATGCTAATAACTGCTGTCTATCATTAATATTTCTGTTATTGTCTGTCTGTTTTAGGATTTTATACTGCCAACCATCACCATAGTATCTGAGCATCTTCCCTGTTTTAGGTTTATTTAAAACAGAAAGCTTAATGGCAGGATTTGGTCCAAATAAAGTAGTCAAATTTTCAAAAATCCTCAGCACCCACAGAAAACAATGGGGAAGCTGCTGAGGGCTTAATGATTTGAAATCTGGCCACAAGGATAGACAAGTGCTGGAGATATAGGGGATACGGTGGGTTCTTCTTACGTACTTTCTGAAACAGTTCAAAAATTAGGAATGATTTGGCAACAGGACACTTAAGAATTAACTTAATAGTAGGGAATTCTCTATTGTTCCAAACAGAATTTTTTTATGTCAGTGCTCACCTGACACAAAGCTCTTACTCATGGATTCATAAGAAGGCTGACTCTTATGCATTTCTTTGGAAGCAAAATAGATGATGTTACAACCCTGGTAATCCGCTACATCTCCGAGAAGAGAAAAATGGTCCAGTGGTTCTGTGACATGGCAGCTCTTGAAAGAGAAGCTTATAAAGGAAGGAAAGAACTCATAAATATGACAACATTTGGCTGTTATTTTTAGAGTTGTTTGACTGACAGATAGCTATGAAACAAAGTGTATGGGGAGATCTGGTGAAATAGTACTGGAGACACTAATAGGCTGATGTCATTGTGTTTGATGACAATTTCCTGGCTCTGTGTGGTGCATGTCATCTTTCCTTTGTTTCGCATGGCTTGTTTCTCTTTGCTTACTTTTTCCCCCCCTGTATCATACACCAGTGAATAAATGAAAGGATTCTTTTATAACAATGAATATGGCTTTATATTATACTTATTCTTGCATTTTTCTTATTCCATTCCAGATATAAGAAAAACAAACTGTATGCGTGTAACCCAGGCTTGGGGCATCGGCCACTGAAAAATTAAGGAAATAGTCAGTCAAGGTAAAATAGGCTGCTGTTCTCTTTCATTCATTAGCGTCTTCTCTGCTCTGGCTAGTTCACAGTGTAAAAACCAAAGCTTTTCTCATCCTGTTTCTCCAGATAGAATCCACTGCTAAAGTGAGGCAGGCTCACTTCGATGAGAGGAAATCAAAATGAAAGGAAGATAAATGGTCTTATCTGTTTGTTAGGGATAAAGCAGCCTGTCTACAAGGTTCTCTGGGTCCCCAAGCCAGCTTTTGTCTGTGTGCTCCCTACCTCTGTTGCTTCCTTGGTCTGAGAAGAGCACAGTTCAAGCAGTCTTGTTCCAGGGTCTTCAGAACACCTGTTTAGGGTCAGGCTATCTCCCTATTTTGAAGACTTTAGTAGCACTTGTTGATACATAGGCCTGAGGCTGGCCCTCTGCACAGGGCTGAATTTCACCCATAGTGAATATACAGTGAATTTAGGAACCATTTTTGTTTCTATTGTATTAACTCAGCAATTAATGTTCTCTAGGAAGCAGACTACTTCTCAAGGGATTTAAACACGAGAGAGAATTCCATTTGTGTTAAATAACAGTCCAACAGTAGAGCAGTTCAAGCAGAAGGAAAAATATTTAATATATGATGCCCAGAAAGTAATAAATGGGAAATATACAATAATCACACTTCCGAGATCAATCTTAAATTAAAGAGTCAGGAGGAAGAAGAAAAACACTTATGTATTTTAGATACTGTAAATTATACTATATAACACATATATTTGCTAATATATAGAATAATGATGATATCCTTACTTTCAATTAAAATACCACTTGTCAGGTCAAATTACAAATGAACCATCAAAGAAAATATGACAGCACAAAACAAGCCACATATTAAGTGTTTATACAGTAGATCAAAACATTTCCAAAATGTTTCAGAGAAGTATGAAATGTGAAAGGAAAAAAATAGGGATTATGTTAAGATTATATTGAAACCTGACTAAAGAACCAGCACTCCTGAACAAATAATATTACAGTAAACTAATTAGAGTTCAGAATATGAAATTGTTAAAGTTTGCTATCTCAGCTGTTTCTTCCAACTGAAACAAGGATTAGTCTACATTATATAAATAGTGAGTGGCCCAGAGGGCAAAGAAATAAAATATTGCCTCCAAAGTAAAAAAACAAAAAACAAAATCACAGTTTCTAAGAGCCCAAACCATTGAGCATTTAGGGATATAAGTAATTTTACTCATGTGAGTAATCCCACTAAACTCAAATGGGCTGCTCATATCAGCAAGATAACTCACGTGCATATGTAATTGTGGGATGGGCCTTAAATCTGTGGCACGTTGCCCGCAGTTATAGACAATTGAAGGAACTATTTTTACCCAAGGATTTTTTTTTTTTTACTACTATTGTTCTGGAGATCGTCATAATTTCTTTTATTATCCTTATTCTATTTTTATTATCCTTATTCTCCACATTAAAATGTCTTATGTGATAAAGGATTGATAGGGCCCGATTCAGAGTGATTTCAATTTCCACTGAAATCGGTGGGAATTAAAAGTGCCAAAACTTTACAGTCTAAGGCCCCAAGTGGATTAAAACATTCAGAAGATGTCATGACTGCCTTCTGACTCCTCTTGCTGGTGGAAGAGGCTGAGGCAGCCAGCCAGCTGCTCTCCCCAGGAGGGAAGTGAGTTCCTGGACCTCAGTTTGGGAACCTCTGACTTAAATAATTCTTTTTAATATAGTGCCTTTTATGTTCTGTCTGACTTTCTATCTCCAATCCACATGCTATCTCATATGATGAAAGTGTAGACTTCCCTCTCTTCTTCTTCTTCCTCTCCCCTTATCAAGATGGTTATTAGTGTTTCAATGTATAATACTATATAAAATAAATATATAAATACATAATGCTTAGACACGCGCACATACATATGCGTTGTAGTATAAGTAACAGTCAGCATGGATTTGTCAAAAACAAATCATGTCAAAACAACCCGATAGCTCTCTAACGAGCCTTGTGGATGGGGGGAAGTGGTAGATGTGGTACATCTTGCCTTTAGTAAAACTTTTGATACTGTCCCGCATGACCTTCTCATAAACAAACTAGGGAAATACAACCTAGATGGAGTCAAGTATCAGAAGGGTAGCCGTGTTAGTCTGAAATGAAAACCTAGATGGAGCTACTGTAAGGTGGGTGCATAACTGGTTGGAAAACCGTTCCCAGAGAGTAGTTATCAGTGGTTCACAGTCATGCTGGAAGGGCATAATGAGTGGGGTCCTGCTGGGATAAGTTCTGGGTCTGGTTATGTTCAATATCAGTGATTTAGATAATGGCATAGAGAGTACACTTATGAAGTGTGTGGACAATACGAAGCAGGGAGGGGTTGCAAGTGCTTTGGAGGATAGGATTAAAATTCAAAATGATCTGGACAAACTGAAGAAATGGTCTGAAGTAAATAGGATGAAATTCAAGAAGGACAAATGCAAAGTACTCCACTTAGGAACGAACAATCAGTTGCACACATACAAAATGGGAAGTGACTGCCTAGGAAGGAGTACTGCGGAAAGGGATCTGGGGATCATAGTGGACCCAAGCTAAATATGAGTTAACAGTGAATGCTGCTGTTTCAAAACAAAGTGAACAACATTCTGGGATGTATTAGCAGGAGTGTTGTAAGCAAAACACGAAAATTAATTCTTCTGCTCTACTCCGCTCTGATTAGGGCTCAACAGGAGTATTGTATTGTATCCAGTTCTGGGCACCACATTTCAGGAGGGATGTGGACAAATTGGAGAAAGTCCAGAGAAGAGGAACAAAAATGATTAAAGTGCTAGAAAACATGACCTATGAGGGAAGATTGGTTTGTTTACTCGGGAAAAGAGAAGACTGAGAGGGGACATAACAGTTTTCAAGTATGTAAAAGGTTGTTTTAAGGAGGAGGAAGAAAATAGTTTTTCTTAACCTCTGAGGATAGGACAAGAAGCAATGGGCTTAAATTGCAGCAAGGGAGGTTTAGGTTGGATATTAGGAAAAACTTCCTGTCATGGTGGTTAAGCACTGGAATAAATTGCCTAGGAAGGTTGTGGAATCTTAAGGTTGTGGAATTTTAAGAGCAGGTTAGGCAAACACCTGTCAGGAATGGTCTAGATAATTAGTCCTGCCACAAGTGCAGGGGACTGGACTAGATGACCTCTCGAGGTCCCTTCCAGTTCTATGATTCTATGGCATAATATGGAAAAATGGCTTCCGCAGCAATGAGTTTGATTGTGATACTGCAGAGTTTGCACAGAAAACATAGCAGTAAAAATTATGTGCTCAGCAGTAACTAATGCACATGCTACCAAATGTAGCCTTTGACTTCATGGAGTTGTGCCTGATTACATCAGGACTGAATCTGGCCCAGAATCTTGGACATTAATCATGTTTTATTGAGAGATTTAATGAGGAGATTGAGAGATATATTAAGTAAGTGGATGATCAGTATCTCTGCTAAATAAAATAATGATATTTGACAAAGTGCATATGGTAACTGTCATTTCCCTGCTTTAAAAAGTAGAAGCTTTTTCTAACCGGCTGATGTAGCTTCTTTGTTTTCTATTCATTGTGAACTAAGGGCTGCTCTAAACAGCAAAGGGTATTGTTTTGGGGAACTGCATTATCATATACATGTCATAGAGAACACAGTTTGGTATTGTCATCTTAAGATGGGGAAAAAACATATGATGGGACCATAGGATGACCATGTAACAGTTTTTGTAGCATATTTTATATACTTAGGAAAGACCAAATGATGTTATCTGGTTTCATGGCAAAATCCATTTTGCTCCATAGAAGACCCTAAATATAAGTCTACTACTTTAGTAGAGTAGAATAAAGTAACATCTCCAGTCATCAACTACGAATAAATTAATAAATTGGCTCTGCAGACTGACTTGCCATTGTGAAGTAAGTCAGGTTATCAAATAACAAATAAGTTGTTTGAGTGAAAGCAAGGCACAAATCTCAGCATCACTTAGCTCTTCAGATGACAGAATGCTAATAGTGTTGGTGTGGAAAGATGCACAATATTAGCTTCTAGAAGATTGAGGATTATGTTGTCTTCTATAAGCACAGACAGAAAGGGAATATTTTTGTCTCTCCTTGAATGTTTATTCACATGTGATTACTGAAAACTCTCCTGTACTGACACACACAATATCTTAACGAACTGAAGGAGGATCACTTGGGTGTTCAGTGCTCTGAGGTCAGGGAGGTGAAAGCACACTGCAAACTTTGCCAGAAGGCTTGAACTTTGCCAGGGCGCTTTTGGTTTTGTCTGTTTACCTTAGCAGTGACAGAAGATTTAGACAATTACTTATCTACTGCTGGTGCCACTGACAGCCCCAAACAGTGTCTTGTCAAATATACTACATCTCCTTTATTAGGAGCTACGTATTTTGAGTGTATTATAAAACTGTTATAATGAGATCTGATATAATTGGGAGCTAGTGACTGGTGTCGTTTGAAGTGATCCCCTCAGAAAAGACTAGTCAGAGATGCTAATGAGAAAAGAAAGACCATCATCCTTCTCTCTTGTAGCTCAGTTCAATAATTAATAGTTTCTGTGGCTGCTAGCTCATAGCAGCTCGGAAGGGCAAGTCTCTTGGGCTCCACCCCTATGGAGATTAGTCTTGCATTTTCCAGGGGAAAAAATCATAAATGTTCCTTGCACTCTTGTGGCTGCATCCATCCCTATTTCAGGGCAAAATCCTTGTTCTTACCAGTTCCAGTTGTCCTACAGACATTTAATTACCTTACAGGGTTGAGGAAGGCAGTCTCCTCTTCCCTGTGCTACAATTTGGGAAAAGGCCTGCATAATTTTGGACATGGTTCACCGTCCCCTTCCATTGTCTTTACCTGACCTTCCCATCTCTTCCTACATCTTTTTCCCTCTCCAGGTATCCCACCTGTGTCCTCTATTTTTCTCATCTCTTCCCTTCCCTCTGTCCCATCTCCCCTCTCTCTGCCTTCTCCTGGTCTCCCTTG